AGATACGTTGGTTGTCGCTGAAACATTCCTTTCTGTTTCAGGTATGTTTTTCATGATCTTTTTTACTATAGTAAATTCACTTAACCCAATTAAAATGATGTGAAATTACGAGCCGTCTTGTAAGCTTACAGATACGAAAAAAATGCTATAAGGCTGCTGATATGAAGCTTGCAGTCAACAAGGTTGTTGTAAATGCTCAATGGCATGTTCATGATATGGTAATATTGCATCAATAATACGATAATTGCACATCAATAATATGGTAATTAATGTATATGGCAATATCATATCAATAAAGGAAAAACAAGTAAAAATCACAGAAAATGTCATTTATTCTACCTCTACATCATCTACAATGAAAGAAGAGGACTTCAGAGTACTACTGTTAGTAATGGATGAGTACGCTCTGCATGCTTCAAATGTTTTGAAATGAAGTTTTATTCCCATTGTCCTGAGTAGCCCTGACTGACGGGGCTACTCGGACAATCTTTATCTTGCGTGTGGCACCTTACGAATAGCATATGGATTTTTTTTACAATGCCATTCGATAGCCCTCGCAAAGAGCTATAAAATGAGCCTAAATTTGTTTATGAAATGTTTCATCGTAAGAAGTTATTAACAGTTATTAACAAAAAAAAAACGATCAAATCTGTCCTGAGTAGCCCCGGTTGATAGTAAAGTATCATGGATACCATCCCCAGCCTTATCATACATAAGAAATTGGTTTGAATCTTGTATAAATGTGAAATTAAAAATTAACTGATTCTAAAAAATATCTGGTTTGCCACTATGTCACCTACTAGCTGATCTGCTACATCAGAGGCAGGTCAGCCAGGTGCTCCTATAACAGCTGCATTTCCTCCCCAATCCCCATGTCCAGTCCACATGAGAGTCCCACAACTTCCGGCCATGAGGCTCTGTCATCTTGCCTGTCCTCTTCAACTCCTATGTCTCAGACTTCCCTCAGTCTGCCCCTTAATCACCTCCTATGCGGATGACCTCACAGCTGCTGCAGAGGCCATGTAGATTGCCAATGCGTATGCTGCCATCTCCTCCCACTCATCCAATGTGGCGGCATGTGCTCATTGGAAGGGGTCATCTGTATCTATCCCCAAATCCAACACCACACTTTTCACCTACAAAAAGGGAAATTGAGAAATACATCAATCACAAACAGACCCTCATGTTAGCTGGAAGGGGTCTGACCTTCCACTCTGTTGGACCCCAAAGATCCTTGGGGTCATTTTTGACTCCCACTTCACCTTCTCTCCACACATTCGCAATATGTCAGACAGCCTGCACATGCCTCAACATCTTCAAATCTTGCCAGAACCAGCTGGGATCAGGAGAAGGAAACTCTCATTGTGACTTTCAAGGCCCTTATTGAGTCTCTCATCATATATACTGCCCCAGTGTGGTTTCCTAATGCCTCTCCTTTGGCAATCTCTTAAGTTGCAAATCATTCAGAACTTTGCTCTCCACAAAGCCATGGGATCTCTTCAAATGACCTCTGCTTCACACCTGTACAGCAAAGCTGAGGTCTTACCCGTGGCTGAACACCTCTCTGCTCTGCTCTCAGTACCTTGCCAGCACCCTATGACCTCACCATAGTCACCATCCCACCTACCCTATCATCACCCAGACATTGGGGCTCTGTCTAATGAAGCAGACACTTCAGACCTGCTTCCTCCAGTTGGTCTCGCAGACTCTCACTTGCTGGAGGAGAGGTCCCTCCCCCCCGACTCCTACTCCACTGCCCTCTGCACCCTGCACAGCTCTGCTGTCTCCTCTCACCTGTCCTTAGAGGCTCCCAGCAAGGTGTTGCTGATCCCTGCTCCCCCCAACACATCCAGCCAGCTATACCTCCCCAGAGTGGCCAGAAGCACCCTTTCCCAGTTCCGCTCTCTACTCATCCCTACTCAACTCATAGTTTACCTGCATTGGTACAGCAAATAGCTCTCTCTGCCCTGAGTGTGGCGTTATGGATCACACCACCCATCACTTCTTCAGCTGCCCATCACACCTCTCCTCGCAAACCCACTGGACCTCTGGTCTAACCCTGGACTGACTGCGGCATTCCTCTCATCACTCCCATCCTCCGACATCCTTGAAGTGGATCCTCCACTCCCTCCTCTGGAGCCGCCATTTTGCTGGGGCGCCGCAAGCAGCAGTTTCAGGTAACTAACAACAACCGACAAAATTGGCATAGTAGCAAATAATAGATTTTGAGAATTATTTAATCTTTGATTGTCTTGTCCACTCGAAATTTCAATCAATATTTTTGGCATCATAAGGAATGAAAATGCTAGTATCCATTATACCTGCTGGTCTACTTATTGAACTCAAAAATGAACTTGAAGAAGGGCTACAAAAGTTTTCTTCTATGCCACTACCGTAAAATGGGGTAACTTAGACTACTTTTATTTTTATAAATGATGCCATTTTTTTACTAGCTAAATTAAACTTGAATTGAAACATGCAAAATACAGGTCTATACTCTAGCTTTATTCACCATAAATTGCTGGCTCCTGCCTCTCATAGTCTTTATGTAATTTCAAAAAAAGTGGTGGTCTTTGTTACCCCAGCTCTTGGGGTAACTTAGACCGGGTGGTAAAATCAATTATATTTTTGGTAAAATAACTCCAAATAACTCCAGGTTTTGGTGCATTGTAGTAGAACTCTTCTAGTTACATATGCAAATGACAAACTTGAGGAAAGTGTCATAGTTTGCAAATGGGGGGCGCCCCCCCATAATGAGGGAAATGTGACTACCTAATGGCAGCCCTGATGGGGTAATATTGACTGGCTTGGAAATTAAGTTAAAATTACCATATATAAGACTCTGTAGAGTCTGAAACATAAAGAAAAAACAAATAGGCTGTCAAACATAAAATATGTTATATATGGTAATTTTATTTTAACTTCCAAGCCGGTCTATGTTACCCCGTCAGGGCTGACATTAGGTGGTCTAAGTTACCCCATTTGGGGGCGGCGCCCCCCATTTACAAACTATGACACTTTCCTAAAATTTGTCATTTGCATATGTAACTAGAAGAGTTTTACTACAATGCATCAAAACCTGGAGTTATTTAACCAAAAAATAAAAAAATTGGAGGGGGTACTCTGACAGGCTTTAAATAATAGCTTTTTTTCATGGGTCATATTTTTAATTTTTTAACCTATTAGATATGCAAACTTTTCAAATCTTTCTATTGTGTAATGTAGCCTCAGTATTAGGCCTTTGATGCCCATTGATAAAATTTTTCTATATCAAATAGTTTTTGAGTTGTGGGGGTTTTTGTTAAAAAAACGAAAAGTGGTCTAAGTTACCCTGCCGGTCTAAGTTACTCCATTTTACGGTATGTCCTATGGTCTAATGAACACAATCACAGTATATCACATATGATAACTACCGTTACAAAGCTGTTTTGATGGCACTCAAAAGATGTGGTTAACTTTTGCTTAGAAAATAGATTATTTCTATTTGAAGCTGCCTCATAGTTATAAAAAAGGAATTTCTTAGACTTGGTTCATTTCTAATTGCTGAATCTAGTTGAAAAATTCATTCAATATCCTATGAATGTATATTATACAGGGGAAGAGAAGAATTCCTTAGGGAAGGTCAAAACAAAAAAATTTCTTGTTTGCCACTTTGGAGGCTGGCAGCTTGAGTGCTGTGGGCATAATATACTTACAGGGCTTGGCAAATGAGTTTTTGGTTTGAAACTAGATTTTCTTAGCAAAGAAAAAGGCATTAATTCTCAAAAAATTTACTCATGACTTGCCCAAAATTACTCCTTTGTAAACATGGAATTGTGGATTAAAAAACCTGACCTTGAACTTTCCTTTATAACTTAGCAAATGGCTTTTTGCAGAGCATTATAGTAGTATCACCTGGTTGGATTCATAATGACAAATTTCTGCTTTTCAATTGAACTTAATGGCTCCAAAGACAGGCTCAAATTAAATAGGAGATAATTCACCTTGTAGGATTCTTGCAGATATGATAGTTTAATTATGGCTTTAGTCAGTCATGTCTAAAAAAGTTATCCTTTTAGTTACACACTGCACTCTAGCAGACACAGCATAGGTTGAAGATGCAAAATTTAAAAATTTATTGACTGACAGATGCTGCTCTTGTGCACAAATTTGTTGATCTTATTATAGTGCATAGCATATAGGGAAAAAATTCACTCCTACACTCACAACACAAACTCCAAGCTGTGCTTTTAAATTGTATATGGTATGTGTGAAACAAGAATGGCTAATTTGGCACATTGTTAATAATTCCACTGTTGTTTAGATGAGGTATGACTGATGCACAGAGCAAGTATCTAATCTTCTGTTCCTTGTGGAACTGCAATTGTAAAATAATCCAGTGTGATCCATTTTAAGGAAAAAATATAACTCAGTACTCACTGCAGTGAGTGACAGAGATCGCATTTTCTAGTCAATGAACACATGAAATTACAAACAGACAGATGGACATGACAAGCACAATAGGGCATTTTTTCCATAAATGAGAAAATGCGCTATAAAGGGCTTATCAATATAATTTTATTTTGTTTTAGTTTTGCATGTTTTTGGTTGTAAATGCTGCTTCATGACTTATAAGAATTCTTGTAAAAAAACTTTTACTGTAGATGGATTGTATTAGAGACTTCCCTGTTTCTGCTAAGATTTATTCAAATTTCATGCCTGTGATCTAGTCTATAAATTACCCATTTGTTCAACGGATACATGAAGTATATACAACAAAATATTTTTCTATTTCAGACTCTCAAAGACATATTAGGAAGAAAAAAGGTTGCATGTTCTTCATATGTTCATAATGGTTTTTGCACTACATACTTCTGGATATTTGTGGCCTTGATCATCAGACATGTCAGATTAGAGTTTGCATTTGCAAAGCCAAAATATCTTGGAGCCTCAAATATAAGAATTTTCATGTAATAAAAAATTTTATTCAATATATCTAATTCATGTAATTTGAATTTTCAGGTTTATTGATAATTATCACTAAGATGATATAACTATAAATCAATGTATTTTGATTGAGTACCTATGGCTGGGCCTCATGAGGAAAAACATAGTGGTGCAGAAAAGATTGAATTAGTGAGTTGTATGGTAGACCAGTGTTTGTTTCAGTCATCTACAGTGATTGTTACTGAACCAGCAGGTATCTTGACATCAAATACTGGCTCTTCACTCAAATCTCCTTCAATAAATTTGAACTGCGATCAGAACCTGCCTTCTTTGCCAACCCCTCCTTATACTCCTCAACCATTGCCATCTTTTGTATCAATGGCATTTGCAAATGAAACTTATGGAGACTTGATGGAGGAGAACAATAACATGGATGAAAACAGCAATGATGAGCAATATGAACAGTTTTCACACTTTCATCAACAGCACTATTTGGACCAGCAAGCTTCAATTCAGAGACGACATGAACTCCAAAATTTGGCTGATCAACCAAATCGATACAATAACTCTTCTCCTTTTGATTCGGAGGAAAGAAGGAATGAATCTGGTAGTAGAAGATTTCAACCACCACTACAAATGGCTCTCAGTTCCACTTTGGATCATCCTATCAATTCTGTGTTAGAAAGACAACATATTGAACTGGATACTTCTTCTGAACCTAGATCAGTGCGGCCACGGGAAAATTACGCATCGCAAAGAAGACTGTCTCTCAACCATAATTCTACCTCTAGACTGGACCAGTTTCACTCAAGTGGTGTTGAAAGAAGCCAACATCCCTTGTCTAGTTTTGAACCTAACCAAAATCTTAAGCCTAGCTCCAATGCTGCTGTTACTTCTATGCCACAAAAATTTTCAGCCAAGCCACCTGATGAAAGTGTTAGCTCATCATATTTCACACACTCAAGACACAACTTGGCAAGCAGACACCAGCGCCAGAGATCATGTGACAGTGGACTTGTAAGTTTGTTGTTTAGTGTTGCTAAATTTTTTTAATTCAGGCTGGAGTTATCATTTTTTTCAAATTTATATAGTTTTTTGTCATGAAAGAATTTAGAGTTACTATTTAGTTCTTAATGTTACAGGATCATTTGCTGAACAGTAATAGCCGTGATGAGGGTGACCAGGCACAGGCTCTGCCGACACTACCTCGGCCAACTTATCATGGTGCATGTGAGTGGCAATACCTACTGGAAAAGAGGGAAAAAGACACCTATATTCTGGTTGGATTCCAACATTATTGGTAATTTGAAGACCTCAAGTAAAATGGAAATGAAGGAAAAATGAATCTAAACTAAAATTATCAATGTTCCAATAGCAACTTAAGTTCAGGTGAACAGCCCCTGCATCATAATTAATGTCTTTCTGATTGAAGGCAAATAAATAAAATATAATTTTTTTATTTGCAGGCAACGGGGGCATTTGGAATGAAGGTGTTCCAGCAGAGCTGGAAATGCTTGAGAGCCAAACGGACACAGAGCGTGAAGCACAAATGCTGCTGTACAACTTTACGAGAGAGGAGCTCAGCATGGAGCATCTCCCTGTGCCTGTTGACATTGCTCAGTTCCAGGGGTAAAGGGCTGTCTGCACTCAAGTTTGCATGTTTTTGCTTTATTATATTTTCTCATCCAAAACAGTACATAGTCTAAGGAGGTTATTTTCTTGTCTAGTATGAATCTGGGACACAGCCAAGTAACAAGTTTAATTAATTTTCTGCAACAATGCACTGAAAATTCACTTAGAACTTTGTTTTGTAATAACGAGCCTAGTTTTACATTTTCACTTGATTCTTATTGCATCCAGTTTTCTTTGTCAGGCCGTACCAAAATTTGGGTCAAAAATTATTACTGGAGTTCATTACTGTATTATAAAGGACGCAATATCTACTAGTGACAGCTTGGGTTGAAATGTAATCAATTGATTATGGATCAGGGGCGATTTTTAAAATTGAAACCATGTATGACACCATGATTATTGTGCTGTGAATTTTCAGTTTTTTCTCAAATATACAAAATTTCCCATTTGATTGATGGTCAAAATTGCTCGTAATTGCTGGGGCTACCTATGTTCAAAATCTGCTTCGTTTAAAAATGTATTTGCTTTCATTTGACCTGGCTTGTCATTTTCTACAGAAGAACATTATCAATTTTCTTGCGCAAACAAGTGACAATGAACTTTATGTATAAAAGTTATATTGATATAATCATTAAAATTTAAACATTCATATACTGATGGCAATTTCAGCTATGGTTTTGTTATGCATTAACATCATTGACACCAGTAATTATATCTGTAGATAAAAGGTAGAATGTCTAAATAATTGTTTATTTGCAGGTATGGAGATTGTAAGCTGATGCGTGAAGGTACAAAGTTACGTCAAATTGCTGATGCGTTCCAGGCATCTCCTGAACGAGCCAAAGTACGAGACATGGCAAGCAAGGTCCTCATATCGGACATCACCTGGGAAAACTTTGCTGCCCTCTGCATGGAGCTCTTCTCTGTAAATATGGCAATATTTTCTCTTTCATGAATTGCAATGGTTTTTTATCCAAGTACGTATTCCAAGAAATTGAAATGGATCTTATGTATATTACTAGGTAGGTATATTGTTTGGCCAAACTTTTCTCTGGTTGCGACTAATTCAAATTTTTTAAAATTGGACCATCCATGTTAGGATTGAATGAAAGAAATGAGTATTTATTTTTTTAACATAGTTTTGGTCATGTACAGCCAAAAATTGGTCACATATGAATAGATAAAAAATTTGGTCATGTATGTTTAGCCAAAAAATTTACAAATTAACCAAATTCGTTTCAAGGAATGCACAGACAAGTATTGTAATAAAAAATAATAATGAGAACAATATTTTGTTGGAAACCATCTTTTGCTCCTGCCAACTTGTTAGTTCTGAGCCGCTAAGAGACTCAGTGCATTTCAGTCCTTTTTGTTTGTAATGATTATTTAGAATCAGGAGCTTTACACTATATAAATCAAATTCTCAATAATTACAATCTGCTGAACTTATTTTCAATTAACACTTTGCACAGTGATAAATCTTATTTTGTCATGTATCTGAAATGTTGAACAAACATATTGAATGAAATAATCTCATTTCACCATGGTGTCTTTTATGTCTTTAAGTAAAAAACGGATTAAATCTATTTGTCTAAATTCAATCAATAAATATAAAGCATAAATTTTTAAAATTTCGGATTGATCAGCTTTTATTGATAGATAATAAATTACTTATATCTGCGGTATCCTAATATTTCCATGTAACACCAACAACCCAAGTTAACAGGAAGTATTGATGTGTATTAGTTTTATTTAAAACTGTTCATGATGTAAAATCTGGTTACATTGGGAAACTGGGCTACTACTCAATTTTTTGGGCCCTGGCAGCACAATTTCCTATAAATGCATTAGATTTATACATTTTGGCATCAATTGCGCCAAACCTTATTCAAAATTATCCATGTTTCCATTGGTTTTCATAGGTTATGCTATTTTCCTGACTTTTGTCGTTTATTTCTTTATTTTGTAGTATTAATGAGCCATGATCATAAGCCATGATGATCATGAGCCATGATCATGAGCCATGATTGATGTGCCATGATGATCATGAGCCATGATGATCATGGCTCATGATCATGAGCCATGATGATCATGAGCCATGATGATCATGAGCCATGATCATGAGCCATGATCATGAGCCATGATTGATGTGCCATGATGATCATGAGCCATGATCATGAGCCATGAGCCATGATCATGAGCCATGATCATGAGCCATGATTGATGTGCCATGATGATCATGAGCCATGATCATGAGCCATGATGATCATGAGCCATGATCATGAGCCATGATGATCATGAGCCATGATCATGAGCCATGATGATCATGAGCCATGATTGATGTGCCATGATCATGAGCCATGATTGATGTGCCATGTTGAGCCAATTTCTTAACATTGATGAGCCATAATGGTACAGGGAGAGCCAGGCGTGACGGTGGAGCGCATCGTCACTTTGTTCACATTCATCGCCGATATCGCCAAAACGCAGGTGTGTCTCTGACAGCTGTTACTGCTAGTGACGCAGTGTTGTTAGGATGTTGGATGTTCATACGTTCACTTCTCTGTTACTGCTAGTGACTGGCAGTGTTGTTAGGATGTTCATACGTTCACTTCTCTGTTACTGCTAGTGACTGGCAGTGTTGTTAGGATGTTCATACGTTCACTTCTCTGTAATTGTGTGTAACAATGATGCTTCTACCTTCTTCTTAGCATCATTGGCAGCTAATCGTAGTTCGTCTGAAATATAATGGTGTATAAAGTAAGTCAATAATAACTATTTTAAGCAATTATCAACTATAATCTATGTATATCTAATCTACTAGAATCAACTACTATAACCATTCTTGTGCTGTGCTACGATGTTGAGAAATGATTGCAGATACGACGCGGTCTTCAGTCGTGCATACGGCAGCTCATGACCTGGTCTCTTCGCTTCATATTCCAAAAAGTCTGCCAGTGGGTTGACAACTCTGGAGGATGGGTAAGACTTTCCACGAACTTTAGTGGACAAAGTTATGTACACTTTGTTTGTGCCGCGCTGCGATGATGAAGAAAAATATGTAAATTGGATACTTGCATAATCATTCTGTTCAATTCTGAGATCTTCGCTGGAAAGATCTTTCTGTCAACTGAGTATATATTAGTGCATTTAAAACTTAGCAGTTGAACTGCTTAATGGGGTTTTGCTAGTTTTTTAAATTTTGCATTCGTTTTATCCTCATAGGTGTTCATCAGTGTAATTATGTTTGTGTTTAAAGGCCTGGAAAGTGTCAGTGGACAAAAGGTAATTACTTTAAGCCAGGAGACATGAAGTGTTGTCTTCAACGCTATTTGTACCTGAAGATCTGGGGCTGTACTATCAATAATATGCGTTTAAAAATTACTTTTTAAAGACAACACTTCTGAACAATCCAGTGTCTTGGATGTTTTACATGTACAATGAATTTCTAATTTTATTTTCAAATATTGACAAAAATTACTTTTCAAAATTTTTTTAAAATATCAAAATTTTGCAAATTTATGAAATTATTTATTCTGTCAATTGATTCATGCATTGTCTCTGACTTTTTGCAATTGTGCAAAATTTCAGATCAATTGACAGGTCAAATTGTGTCATATATGGATAATAAGATTTGTAGCAGACGAAATTATTTTTTGATTTTTTTTAATAATGAAAAATTTTTTTTTAATTTATAAAATTATTTATTCTGTCAATTGATTCATGCATTGTCTCCAACTTTAGACAAGTGTGCCAAATTTCAGATCAATTGGACAGGTAGAAGTGTGTTAAATATCGATTATAAGATTTGTAGCAGACAGACAGACAGACAAACTAGAAGTGAAGTTAAAGAGAAGTTGAGTTCATAACCCTCAGCCAATCAATTTCAAGCATTAATTTAGCTTCTCAGGGTAAATCACCAATCATAGACGAGAAGTCAGCCGTTACATGTACTTTGCCAGATTTGACACCACGGCCCTTGATAACGTGAGGGACTGTCAGTATACGAGGGGTCAAGTTTTGATACCACGACCCTGGTAACGTAAGGGATTGTCAGTAGACGAGGGGTCAGGTACTGTCAGTAGATGAGGGGTCAAGTTTTGATACCACGGCTCCTGGTAACGTGAGTCAGTAGACACAGGGTCTATTTGTGTATGTTTGTGTGCAGGGTCGCGTGCTGCAGCAAGGTCTAGACGTGGTCTACAAGGTGGCTGTGTCAGTGTGTGCCGGGGTCGCTGTCGTCGCCATGGCTGCCTACATCGCCAAGACGTGGCGCTCATAGTGTCAATAATACTGATTACTACCGTATACTTATTAGTGCTTTATTATTAACAATTACCCATCTGGTGCACCGGTGTGTTTATACTACTGAAGAATGCCTTTCAATTAGCTGATGTACGTCAATGTCGATAACACTGAGGAATAAGATTAAGGGATAATAATTAAAAACATGGCGCCAGAAGTGCGCCAGATTACATAACATTAAGGGTTGATAATTAAAAATTATCTGGCGCCCGTCTGTGTTAATACTACAAAATAATACTGATCAGTAACTGAATAAAGAACTTTTTCTGGACAATTTTGAGGAATGCCTGGGCTCACGAAGGAATCACAATTGTTCCTTAAGCTACATTTCAACCTCTGTTAATTTGGATAGAAATATGTAGTTTTTAATGAATTTGTATACATATAGTGACCTAATATTGATGATAATTTTGTTGCTGCTGTTGATATAGTTTGGTTGTGTGTTTGTGCTTTTGTACATATATATTTTGTTCCTTGATTCTTGTCAGGCCAATAGTTCAGTGGGTCTTGATGAGCCAATAGTAAATTTCATATTGTCAAGCCAATCATTTCTCAGGTCTTGTCAAGCCAATAGTTTCTCAGGTCTTGTCAAGCCAATAGTTTCTCAGGTCTTGTCAAACCAGTAGTTTCTCATGTCTTGTCAAGCCAATCATTTCTCAGGTATTGTCGAACCAGTAGTTTCTCAGGTCTTGTCAAACCAGTACTTTCTCATGTCTTGTCAAGCCAATAGTTTCTCAGGTCTTGTCAAGCCAATGGTTTCTCAGGTCTTGTCAAGCCAATAGTTTCTCATCAAGCCAATAGGTTCTCAGGTCTTGTCAAGCCAATAGGTTCTCAGGTCTTGTCAAGCCAATAGGTTCTCAGGTCTTGTCAAGCCAATAGGTTCTCAGGTCTTGTCAAGCCAATAGTTTCTCAGGTCTTGTCAAGCCAATAGTTTCTCATGTCTTGTCAAGCCAAGAAGGTGTCGCTGCTCTGCGTTTGCGTCAAAGGACGCTCGATAGGATGGTAATATTTTCCTGCCAATGATTGTATTCGTTTCAGCAACGCGTATGCAAACCCGCTTATGTTTGTTTGATTTGTTAATTAAATTTTTGTATCATAATTGCGATAATAGAGTCCTTGTTTTGTGTAGAAGTAGTTGTTATGAATGCTTCTCATACTGCCTACTTATCACTATGAGTCGATACTGAATTCAAATTTTTCTTGTTATGAACAGAGAATAATAACTTGAAGTTATTTTTTGTAAAGCACATAAAAATGTTTAAAATTTTATTTATTAATGAAATATAATTCAACTAACCATTTGTGAGAAATCGGTTCCAAATGAGTTTGTTGTTGATCATTAAAAAATTATCTCATTTTCTGTGACGCTTTCACCAATTATTGGTTTTTCACCTGACCTCAATACTGGAACCTTTATGAGCATCAGTGAGTATAGACATTAGACGCCGTAGCGTGGTGAGAGTTTTAGGGTAATGGCTGCTTCATGCGTCTCTCTGAAGAGAATGTATGACCTGAGGGAGAGAGCGTCTCTCTGAAGAGAATGTATGACCTGAGGGAGAGAGCGTCTCTCTGAAGAGAATGTATGACCTGAGAGAGAGAGCTTCTATCTGAAGACAGTGTATGACCTGAGGGAGAGAGCGTCACCTGGACGAGTGCTCAAGACGACTGTCAACTAGTTTTTTAATGTGTCTGTAAGGCAAATTATGTAATTATGTTCAACCGCATTTATTGTTTGCTCGCACATTATTAAGGTACCTCTTGTATATCATAGATACCGTCCTGAGCACTTGTGTGCCATGAACAACTTGAAGCAAGAAGAATGTCGATTAGCGAACTAATTTTTCTTCGAACGTTTCAGGGACCATCTCTATCATCAGTTTCATGAATTCGCTGCACATTCATTACTGAAATCGCCTAACATTAATGTTAATATATCAATATAACAATGTTATAATAACAATAGCTAACGCTTGAAGGTAGGTATTATGCTTTTTCTTTAAGCATTGTTATTGCCTCGTTTGGAAAGGGATATAGGGTTTATATGATATTGACTTCTGAAAGTGCATCACATATATTTCGTAAATTTTTTAATTGGACACTTACCACACGCAGCTCCGATCTTGAAATTTTCTAAAAATCATATCAAGAAATATTCTATCAAGAGAAATATGAATCCCAAGGAATGCTTTTTTTATTTAACCTGTGGTCTACTAACGATACCCAGTTATCAAGATTCACTGTAGGAACATCATTAATGACGGTAGACATAAACGTAGACTCGCAATTAACTACCGTAGCAGAGGCACCAAGGTTCGTGAACATATAGCTTTTAGGACCTTTCTTTCCAAATGCAAGCCAATAAAAGAAATAACGTCAGGAATTAACCCAGGGGCTTTAATTCAAACCTCTTTGTAGTAACCAACAAACGCAGGTTTAAAGGTTTAATGTTATTACCATTAAACCTTTTTTCAAATGAAGTTTTCATCTATATTCAAACCTTCACGTTTGAAAACTCGGACAAAATATTTTCGTATGTTTTTTTTTATGCTAGTCACTCGGATTTTAGTACAAGAATCGTTATTTTTTTAGCTTTGGTGCACTTGTCTGACTCGCCCAATAATGCACGTGTAAGTAAATGTGAAGTTTGGGCCAGCGAGCGGGTTGAGGTCGAGGATGGGAGAAACTTGGCAGCAGCTTTCGAATGGATTGTAAAACCTTAAAACTATTCCATTCTACTTCCATATCTTAAATCTGGCAGTCATTTTGGCTTCAGTACTTAGGAATTACTTATCGAAAGCAGATTAGTCTCTGATTCATTAGACTCATTTCGCTTAAAGATGAATAAGATTTGAACCAAATAACATTGCCGCGCATAGCCGCTACACCAATGTTGGCTTGAGTCGAATAAAAGCAGAAAATTTAGAATTCTTAGTTTATTATAAATAAAAATGATACTTCCTGCACTCATTCCGCCGTGCTATATGTAATAATTCCGATCAGTTACCTGTTGTAGTTGCTGGCTTTTGAATGTAGTTGGGTTCCTTCACAAAGTGCGAATTTCCGTAGAAGTGAACTTATATTTTGAGGTTTACAATGCTCTTGGAAATTGGTTAGCCTGTATCATGTGTGGGGTGTCTGAACTTCAACATTTTTTTTGTGTAGGAAATGCATATTGCAGCTTCAAATATCTTTTTAGATTAAGATCTTATGACAAGGGAACAACTGGGATACGTATAATCGATGTCAGAATAATGCAAAGACAAGCAGCTTACATTTACTATTAATTGTGAATTACCGAACAGTTTGAACGATCTATGGCATTAATGGCAATAGTTGGGATTTCAAGGTTGGAGTACTCAATAAGTTAGTTTAAACACACTTGATTGATATTACTTACGTGGCTTGTAAAGGACACTTAATTGGGTTTGGCCTCTAGCCGTTCAAGTATCTTTTACGACCCATTTTTTGGATCCGTCATAGCCAGGAGACGTGGAGTGATCTAAATGTGGAATGATTTAAAAGTGAAGTGATCTAATAGTGAAGTGATCTAATAGTGAAGTGATCTAATAGTGAAGTGATCTAAAAGTGAAGTGATCTAAAAGTGAAGTGATCTAAAAGTGAAGTGATCTAAAAGTGAAGTGATCTAATAGTGAAGTGATTTATAAGCGAAGTGATTTAAAAGTGAAGTGATCTAATAATGAAGTGATTTAAAAGTGAACTGATCTAAAAGTGAAGTGATCTAATAGTGAAGTGATCTAAATATGGAATGATCAATAGTGATTTGATATAATAGTGAAGTGATCTAAAAGTGGAGTGATCGAAATATGGAATGATCTAATAATGATTTCATCTAATTGTGAAGTGATATTGAGAATTAGTTGTTAGGAAAAAAGGTTCCCAGTAAAAATACGTTCAATAAAATAGGTTCCCTTAGGTTCCCCTGGAAATAACTGTTAGAAATAAGGTTCCCAGTGAAAATATTCTTTAAAAGTAAAATGATCTAAAAATAGAGTGACCTAAAAGTGGAGTGATCTAAAAGTGGAGTGATCTAAAAGTGGAGTGATCTAAAAGTGGAGTGATCTAAAAGTGAAGTGATCTAAAAGTGAAGTGATCTATCCCATATCTACAAAGGAGGTGCAAGAGACAAACCCCAAAATTACAGGCCGGTTACATTAACATCACACGTAATCAAAGTATTTGAGAAGGTTGTTGCCAGAAGGTTAGTGCAGTACATGGAAGACGCTGACCTTTGCAACAGAAGAAAACACGGTTCTAGACGAAATCGTTCCTGCTTGTCTCAGCTACGGGAGCATCACCACCTAATCCTGGCCATTGGAGGAGGGGGCCGGGGTGGACGTGGTGTATTTGGACTTCGCGAAAGCGTTTGACAAAGTCGACCATGGAGTGCTCTTCAGGAAATTAAGACTGCTGGGGGTCAGAGGTGAATTGCTGGCATGGCTCCACAGCTTCCTAACAGAAAGACTACAAGCTGTCGTTGTAGGAGGCAAGAGATCGAGTGAGGCTAGGGTGAAGAGTGGAGTACCACAGGGAACGGTACTCGGCCCAATCCTCTTCCTCATTCACATCGCCGAGTCCGACATAGATGTGGCAGTGAACCACGCCTCTGCATCGCCATTCGCGGACGACTCCAGGATACTAATGACCATAACGGACAGGAGAGACTGCGAGAGGTAGCAAGAAGACCTCGCGGAAATATATGACTGGGCCCAAGTGAACAACATGCAGTTCAGCGGGACCAAGTTTGAGGTGTTGAGATGCAGAGGTAGCGGAAGAGCGGATATAGAGCACCGCTACCTAGCACCTGAAAACTCGGAAATCGAAGAGAAGCGAATCGTTCGCGATCTAGGAGTGTTGATGAACCCTCAGGTCAATTTTGTGATCACATAATGGCAATAACCGCAAGAGCTAGGCGACAGATGGGGTGGATATGGCGGACGTTCAGAACAAGAGAAGTGGAACCAATGATCACACGCTTTAGAGCCCTTGTAATACCAATCCTTGAATACTGCTGCCAGCTCTGGACCCCGTTCACACTCGGCGCAGTGCGGCAACTGGAAGGTGTCCAGCGAACCCTCACTTCCAGGATCAGAGAGATGGAAGAGTTGAACTACTGGGAGAGGTTAAGGCGCCTGGGTCTGTACTCACTGCAGAGGAGACGGGAGAGGTACTTCATTCTGTACACATGGAAGATATTAACCGGAATGGCGCCAAACTTTGAGAGCGAGACCTTCAGGATTGAGACACATCACAACGAGAGAAGGGGGAGACTGTGCAAGATCCCCCCACTACGTAACAGATCTCCAGTCCCTACCAAAGGATCTAAGAGAGGGATAGTTCACCCTGGATACCTTCAAGAGAGGACTGGACGTGTACCTGGGCACAATCTCAGATCGACATCCCCTGCAACACTACCAGCGGCGAGAAACAAGCAACAGCATCGTGCATCAGCTGGCCCAAATGAGGGCGGATGAGCGATAATCAGAGGCGGCGATCCATCGTGGCCTGGGACTGCTATGTCCCAAACAAATGCAAAGAAAACCAAGGATCTAAAAGTGAAATTATCTAAAA